GAGTGGTGTGTTCAAGATTGGGTGAGTTGGATTGAACAACGAATATTGACTGCCGTATGACAAATAGGGACCGAGGCATTTGATATTAAAGTCGGGAATCATGTTCAGGGGTCGTACACAAATTGGAGAGAGAAGGTTTTGCATTCGTACGTCTCTTAAGAAATAAAATATTGCTTAGAAAGAAAGTTTTGAGAGACTACGTGGCGAACTTTGCGGCTTATTATGAAAAATATTGATTAGTATAACTTTTTATTTTTTTATTATGAAACGAATTTATGACTTTGAGACCGTGGTTAGTCACAAAAGAATATCACCGAATGGCATTTAAGCGGAAATGTCAACCCCGAATAATTCGAATTCATTTATGAGGCGACCCTTCAATGCAAACTGAAAATGGAAGAAATGGCAAATTTTGAAATTAAGTATTTTTTAGTCTGTTTAGTGGTTAGTCAATTTTTTGTCTGTCGGGAGTCAAACCTTTTCTGTTTTATTTTTTTATTGCAGCTACAAAATTTCTTAAAGATATATTTTAAATCACTCATAATTACTCATAATATATATATAATTTATTACCTAAATAATATTGATTATATTATCTCCTGAGATTAATTTTAGTATAATTATCTTAAAAGAGTGAATTCATACTTAATAAGTTCTATTTCGAAAGATGTTTTGAAGTAACTTGAATGTAAATTGTTTAAAATGTTTAACGGGGACTTTAATTAAATCATGAATAACAAAATTTCAGTTGTAAAAAGAAATAAAAAGCAAGTAAGTAAATAAATGCAAGTAATCATTGTCATTGATCGGAAATTGACTTGTCAAGGGGAACAAACCAACTCCCATTCAATGAACAATAATTAAGAAATCTCCTGAGATTAATTTTAGTAGAATTATCTTAACAGAGTGAATCCATACTTAGTAAGATCTATTTCGAAAGATGTTTTGAAGTAACTTGAATGTAAATTGTTAAAAATGTTTAACGGGGACTTTAATTAAATCATGAATAACAAAATTTCAGTTGTAAAAAGAAATAAAGGTACTTTTCCATTTTGCCGGCGCAAGCGATAAAGTCGCCAATAATGGTACAACCGATGCCAAACGGAATATTCTCGCTGGTAACCTTTTACGCCTCATTTTCAAAACAAGTCCCAGCTTTTCTTATCAGATTGATTGTTTCTTTCAATACTGGCATATAATTACATAGAATTTTTATCAGATAGTTCAGTTTTATGTCTAAGGCCATTTTCGGTAATTAAGTCAATTAGGATGCAATCACAGCGCTTACCTGAAGCCGAAAATATAGAAAAGGTAAAGTCAAGGGTTAAATTCATCCATTCTAATGAGAATGCATTAGCGAAGTAAAGCACTACAGTTTTACATAATTTCTGAGTAAGCTATTCGTAAGAATTGAAATATTTCTTGCATTTAAACTTGTGTTCCAAATTAAGATTTAACTTGAAATTAATGTAGATAATTACTGAGAGCATTAGATTTTTGTAGAGTAGTTTACGTGAGATGAGATCGCTTGGGGTCACGTGATATGAACCGGCGAATCAGGAGGTTGAACCATGAAAGCATAGTAAATTCTTAAATTAATGTCTTTTTACAAATTTATTTGTCTTTATTTATTGGCTTTTTATAAAATTTTAAGCGATATTTAAATGTTTATGCCTTCGTTTTTTAAAAGAATTCTTAGAACTAATATTTTTAAAATATTTTTTATGTGTATACTGTATGTTGTCGCCAATAAAGTCTTCTTGGCGAGATTTGCGCCGGCGAAACGGAAAAGTACCGAAATAAAAAGCAAGTAAGTAAATAAATGCAAGTAATCATTGTCATTGATCGGAAATTGACTTGTCAAGGGGAACAAACCAACTCCCATTCAATGAACAATAATTAAGAAATAATCTCCTGAGATTAATTTTAGTAGAATTATCTTAACAGAGTGAATCCATACTTAGAAAGTTCTATTTCGAAAGATGTTTTGAAGTAACTTGAATGTAATTGTTAAAATGTTTAACGGGAACTTTAATTAAATCATGAATACCAAATTTCAGTTGTAAAAAGAAATAAAAGCAAGTAAGTAAATAAATGCAAGTAATCATTGTCATTGATCGGAAATTGACTTGTCAAGGGGAACAAACCAACTCCCATTCAATGAACAATAATTAAGAAATAATCTCCTGAGTTTAATTTTAGTAGAATTATCTTAACAGAGTGAATCCATAATTAGAAAGTTCTATTTCGAAAGATGTTTTGAAGTAACTTGAATGTAAATGTTAAAAATGTTTAACGGGAACTTTAATTAAATCATGAATAACAAAATTTCAATTGCGCAAGTAGTACAATAACTCGATTTCGCACTAAATGAATTTAAGATCATACAACATATATATATATATATATATGTATATATATTTGTTTCACAGGAAAAGAATAAATTTAAATAATTCTCTTGCCCCATTGCTGCAAGGAATGAAATTTGAATTTAAAAGATATTCTCTATTCGTATAACGCTAATATAAATTTAAATTTAATTTAGAAATTTTGAAAAAATAAAAAAAAAAAATAAGAATGAAATTAATTTCTGCGAACTAATTTACAATATCATTTAAATTCTAAGAGCATATGTAAATTAAGTGCACGTATCTAAAACCATGAAAAAATATATAATATTCCAAAAAATTAATCTCAAAAATATTTTTAAGAAATTTTTGCAAGTTTTGTTAATTAAATTTAAATTTATATTATCTTTATTGGAATAGAGAATATTTGTTAAATTCAAATGTATATATGTGTGTGTGATAATTTAATGCGTAGGAGGAATCCGATACTTTTAATCAGCTTGTGGCTGTAGACAGGCCTGAGTGGAAAGGCGTGATGACGCATTTAATACAGCTGAGCTTGAAGTATCACAATCTTTATTTTCACGCATATCAAATCATCCTTTTGCAGATAAGATATTTTTAAATCCCATTTGAATACTTCTTTATATACACAGGTTAACGGGGGTGATATCATTCTAGACAAACAAGCAGGGCAGCGGAGATATGTTAGCAGCGGCGAAGAGCTAGGGAAAGGAATGGCATAGTTATTGTGCCACAAATATTTATACTAGGTCTGATGTATAAGTACAGCTAATCTGTGATTGGTTAATTTAAGGTTGTTATATAGCATGGAAAGATCTCGAATTTGGGAGAACAGATGAATTCAGGGCGAAACCATAAAATCTAGAATCGTTAATTTTGAGGTCGCCAATTATTGTTAAAGCAGCTATTGTATTTTGTTATATCTTGTATATATATATATATATATATATATCTATATATATATAAGCACGGAGGAATGCATAAAAGGTTAGATTTCATTTCCTATACAAAGGTAAGTTCTTAAAAAATAAAACATAACATAATTAAATATATTAAAAGTATTTGCAACATTGCTGTCGAACTGAATTTTATGGTTTACGTGCAAAGAGCATGATAATAATGAATAAAGTTAACACACAAAACGTTAAAAAACGCCTCTTTGGACGCAATTTAAAATCTGAAACGATTCGGATTAAATAATTTTTTTTTTTTTTTGTTATTATAAAAAAAAAAACTTCCAACAGCTTCCCTGCCAACCGAATAGCCCGGAACTTAACCCCATAGAAAATGTATGAGATATAGCGGAAAGATACCTCCAAAAGGCACTCTCCTTTTCCATCTAATTGACAAGATCTAAAATGTTGCATAGCCAATGCAGAGTATTCTATGGACATAAATGCACTCCATAAGCATGTAGACGCGATTCGCAAACGAATCAGAGCAGTTATCCTTGCAATTGGTGGTTAAATAAAATATTGATCTTGGGTTTCTAATTCATTGCCATTGTGAGTATATTATAAATTCTGTATATGTAACTTATGTAACTTTTTAACACGTTGAGGGCGGATCCGAATTTGCTGCCCTTTCCGTTCAGACGGCAGCGAGCTAGGCCGTATTTTTACTTAAAATGTTTCAATACTAAATTTGATCACATTTCATTGAGACTATATTTATTTTTTAACTTTAATACTGTCTGTCCCGCGGACCGACGTCAGCCAAACGAAAGTTCCAGTGCCGGTCTCCAGGAACCGATGCCGGCCACACGGAAAGTTCACTGCCGGTCACCAAGAACCGGCGCCTCGCTCAACGTGTGAAATAAATTGCAGTACGTTCCTTTACCTATCGAACAATAAGGGCCGAAAACCTGTTGCCAATACCGGCTGATTGGTGAAGCTTATAATATTTAAAAGAACCCGAAGCCCACCGCGGCCAGGGCCGGTTAAAATCGCTGACACTTCGTTCAGTCGAGGTTCGAATCCGCGAAACGGGTGGCTGCATGGGTGTTTTCTTGTTTCCCCATGTGTAACGTATATACAAGCCAGTTTCCCTTAGAAAGTCCTCCGAAGGCATCCCTCCCCTTAGGCAGATAGCCCTAGTGTGCTTTGCCGTAATTAAAATACACACACTAAAAGAACCGAAATGTAAACTAATGGTAACGGCAACCAACTCAACGTCTTAACTCCTTAGCTCGTCACCAATTTATTATTGTTGGATCTGATTCTCAACTCCATTGCGTGAGACAGAGGAAGTTTCATGTCTGCTACTAAAAGGATTTCATAAAATGCTATAAAGATTACTGCCACCTCTACGCAAGTGGGCAACTGTTCTCCAAATTTAAGACATTCAAGGATTTCCTTTCTTCAGGTTAGGAAACTTTATAAGGGTGCAGGCACATTTCTAGGAGCCGGGGATATCCCGAACGTCTATGGATCCCTTCTCTAAATAAGGGTTGTTTTCTTTATGATATCGAACTTCAAAAGGGTGCCGGCACATTTTTGCCGTTATGTTATGTTAAGACACTTCTCTGTCTTACACAGCGAAAAAATGCCGCCACTTTTTCCCCAAGTTGCTCGTGTCCCTGTTACACTCATTCAATTCACATCTACTAATGATTTGTATTTTTTACAGGTTATGGCCAAGTCATGCAAGTTCTCACAACAATCTAGGCACTCTTTTGGAGGACGCGGAGGAAGCGGAGAAACATTTTCGTCAGGCTCTCGCTATCAATCCTTGCCATTCCAAAGCACATTATAACCTAGCAAGCATATACAGGTGACCATCTTAATTCTTTTATGCCATAATAATTGACAAGTATTCATTATTGTTATATCTAGTTTAAGTTATTATATCTAGTATAAGTTTCCTAAAACTTCACAATAAACTACAAAAACCGGTACCAAGTTTTATTACAGTTCAGTTCTGCGATAACGAGCTTTAAGAGATCAAAACGTTAGTTCTGTATAATCGATGAGATAAACTAACGCTTCGTCTTGCAAAATGGTGTAAGAATTGATTGACTAGTCGCGTAGAAAGGGTGATTAGCAATGTCACATCTCCTAAGATATGCTAATAGTAATTTTAAAATAAATATTAAAAGTTAATTAAAATTGTTAAGTACAAAGTTAATTACTGCTTGCAAACACTTTTTGGTTGTTTTTCTGTTTAGTCATACGTTAAATGTTTTCCACCATGAATTTCTTAGCACTAAAGTCGAGTTTAGACTCGTCATGCCGATGAAGGTTGTAATCTATTGTAGTCATTTACTGATACGCAGTCGCATGGACCTCCGACCTAAGGTTCTACACCAATCAGAGTTATATGTTTATGCGACGGAAAAGAATCTACCTTCACCGCCAGCGGCATTCACTGAATCAATGATAGTAATATTACAATGCTAAATTGACAATGCCATCTATACAATAATTGTGACATAATAATCCGTATGAAAAATAAATATACAATCAATTAATCATTACATTGTCATGGATAGGATCTATGTCGTGGAGAGTGGAACTTATATATTAACCAGTTTTTAAACCTATGTCTTCTTCAATACGTCATAACTTCATATTCTTATCAGTTACACACCTAATGATGTGTGTCCGTATTATTTTTGCAGTTATCCAAAGAGTAAGCCAGTCACATCAGTTCAGGCAATTGATAGTTCCATAGCCCAAAGTATATGATGTTGTGTAGGCTATTCTATGTTCACTTTTGTTAAGTTCATCGTTCAAGTAAATACTACTTGTTCACATCAATACATCATAACTTCGAGTCCTTAATAGTTTGCATACCTTATTATGTGTGTCTATAGCAATTTGCACACCGCTGTGTCGCAATTATCCAGAAGTCAATCACGAAATTGCAATTGGGAAGTTCATTGTAGTATGTACACTATTTTACTATTATCCACAGAAGCAAATGTTTTGTAAATAATGACTTGGCTCCCAGATGATAAAAAAAGAAGGAAACTAATTCCTAAATTTTTCAATACAATTCTAAATTGTGCAAAACTACAGATTTGTTAAACAGTTCCAGTCAATACAAATTGGTAGTTATTTACTATTGGAAGAGCTGATCCTTGGCTCTACAAGCCAGTTTCCCTCAGAAAGTCCTGCACGGAAGCATTCTTTCCTACAGCCTTTGCGTGCTTTGTCGTACTTAGGAGAAAAGCCCTTAACTTTCACATTTTGCAAATGCTCATCCTACTTTGCCGACACAATAGACATGGTTTGAGGAATTTTCTCCTTTCTTAGTCTGTGCAGCCGAAATGTAATGGATTTACGGTCGTCATCGGAAGAACTGGGGTTCGAATTCCGGAGCGAGATTGCTGTTTTTTTATGTCTGTTTCTTCAATATGTATCTAATAATACTTTTACGATGACACCCGCCTAAAATAGGATGGACAATAATTCAAACTAGTAGGTCTTCATCCTCTTTAGCCGCTGTTTGAGAGGGGCCAGCATAAGCCATTATTCACCTACATGTATAGAAGTTTTTTCTGCGATTCGAATCCGGGGCGAACGATACGATCGATAGCGAAAAACGCTTGCAGAATCTAACTGAATGCAGATACGCCGTAAAATATATAAACAAAAGCTTCGACCGCAAAAAGGGTTTGGCATAACGTAGCCACGCTTTAATCTGTTTAGTCCATCGTGTTTATTTTGAGAAAATGAGGGCTACTAAGCAATAACGCATGATGTAAATAAAGGCAAATAGGGTTTGCATAATTATATTTCCATCAATCTTTGCAAATGCCTCCGCCCCAACAAAGGTCCAGAGGCTGAGGTTGTTGAATACTTGTAGAGGCGAACGGGCTGGTTGCGCGGTTGGTGTTCGTGGATTTCCTCATGTGAAACGTGAATGAAAGTCATTTCTTCTTCAGAACGTTCTTCACGAAGGCATCCGTTCTCTAGGGCAGCAATCTTGCGTGCTTTGCCGTAACCAAATATCCTGCCTTCTGCCTGGCATACTGCAAACCCCCACACATACTTTTAGATTTATTTAATTGCGTTTCAAAATTGTTTACGCCACTCTATTACGTGTTATGTCGAATTGTTTGAATCAAGTTAAAAAGCGAGTAAATGGTTAAGGTTAATTGACGCAGAAAAAAAGAACAAAACGCTGCTCTAATTAGATTGCATATCTTTGCTTTGCTTACCTAATTAGATTGCATATATTTGCTTATCTAATAAGATTGTATATATTTGCTTATCTAATTCGATTGCACATATTTGGTTATCCAATTCGATTGCATATATTTGCTTACCTAATTAGATTGCACATATTTGCTTATCTGATTAGATTGCATATCTTTGCTTACCTAATTAGATTGCTTTCAAATAGCCGAATTTGTGGATTAAAACTGAAAGATAAAGTATCTTACATTTTGCCAAACAGCAGCGGTCTGGTGGGCCAGAGATAAAAATCGTTTATTTCGAACAATGTTGCCATTTCTCGCTTTAAAATCGCTTTGATAAATCAAAATTCGTTGAATTTGTACAAAATATGAAATAAATGAAAAATAAACTCAAAATTAGATCTTCGAGGTAATGTTCGGGTGGAAGACTACCTGTTTTAAAAGTTGGATTGCTCCAGGTGTCGTTTCTTCGCAATGCGAGAAATATACATACATGCGTACATAAAATTCCGTATATAACGTTTTTAAATAATTAATCGAGACAACATTTGGTGGCAACAATTTGAAATCCATCCCGCACACAGAAAACGATACGGACAAAAAGTGCGTTTCGAAAATAACAACACCTATGCTACTAAAAACGGGTATTTTATATTTTAAAAGTAAACTTAATTTTCACTTAAAAAGAACAAAGATTCCGTACATCTGTATTCCGAATAACTGCTCAAATAAATATCAAAAGAAAGGTGTTCTTTTTAATGTCCTACCAAATGTCACGTGGTAGTCAATTTACCTACCATTTTAATTTCAGTGGAAACATTTTATAAGATATTTCACATTTTAATACATTTACCGACGAAATATCTCCTCTAAGAACACTTTCTTTTCACTTTTAAAAAGAAAGAAAGAAAATGTGATAGCACTTGCTTTTCAATTAACTAAATTACACTCTAATCCTCGATGACATGTATATACTTAGAACCCCTTTAAATTCGGAAGTGTAAAACAAAACAAAATTTTATCGCTCCCTCGACTCGCGTTAGGGGCTTCTAAGACGGCGTTTTCTAGGATAAAAACGCCTCGGCTTGTCTTTAAAAAGATGAGATGGGGAAAAAAAATTGCATTTTCTTTTCTCTCAACTTTTCATTTTTTTTTCTCCTGCAGAATAATGTGAAAAGCCCAGGGATTGAAATGACCTCTTTCTACGGGAAAGAAGATCTTGGTACTTTGCATGGAAGTGTTTGAGGAAAGTAAGATAAAATACACAGATGTCTTCGGATGAAAAAAGAGAAAGATCCAGGGTTTTACCTTTCCCATTCGCTAAATAGGAAGTCCTTAAATTTAAGAATGTCTCATTCTTTTCTCGGGTTTTTGTTATATAAAAGAAAAGTTTGTGTGAGATGCGTTAGCCGATATCAGGTTGACTGTGTTTGGATTCCGAAAATTATCAATCATTCTTTGTATTGCTCGCGAAATTCTAACCTCCTTAAAATATTTGAAGGAGATTCCTTTTTCATTATTAATAATATTATCCCTCTACCTCCTCTTATGGATTTTCTTTTCTTTTCCTTTCCTCAGTTTTGTTTTTCAAGCTACACAACTTTAAAATCCTATCGTGTTTCGGAAAATAATTTTTTTTCTCGCCTTTATCTCTCTTTAGATAGAAGCTAAGGAGCATCTTCAAATGCTGTTAGCATAATATTTTCTTTTCAAGAGCATTCGCATAGGCATTAAAAAGGCTTTCCATATTCTTCGATATGCAATATAATATGTGTTTGCCCGTTTTTAGAAGGATCTCGTGGCCCCTTAGTTAAAATTTATAGTCTAAAAAGTATTTTTGAAATGTTCGATCTGTTAGCTGCTTTCCTGGACATCGTGAATTTCATGATACAGTAAGACCCCGCTGAACGCGGGGGATACGTTCCGTCGAAGCAGAGCGTAATGCGAAACAGCGCGAAGCGAGGCTATCTTAACATGTAAATAATGGGGTTAGGGGAAGACGGATAAAAAATGGTTAGGCATTAAATTTAATAATGTTTTTTTAATAAAAATAAAATCAAACATTTATTTCTTACAAAAATAAAAACAATATAAACGCATATACTTTTAAAAACAAATAAAATTCTCAGTCAGATCATTCAGTCTATTCTGGGTTTCCAATTTTCTGCCTTTTTGTTGATGGCATTACGATAGATTGGCTTAATGGCATATTGCGTTCATTTCGTCGTTCATCCATATAGACAGTCGTTTTTCCATTTCCTCTATAATGTTATTTCTAGAACGGGTAATTCTAGTTGCAGAGCTTGACGTAGTTGCAGTTGCCGATGACAGTATTTTTTCTTTATTCTTAAATTGTCCTTATTGTTGAAGTTGCCAAATCAATGCAGCGCTAATTTGAGATTGGACGTTCACCAGAATCTAATCTTCTAATCACTTGCATTTGAGTTTCCAGTGAAATGCTTTTTCTGGTTGCTTTCTTTCTTGTTTTTATTATCACCCATGATAAAAACTAAAGATCATAATATTTGTCACTGTATTATTAATCGTTATAGTATTATACAAATTTAAACTTACAATAATGTCAACAAATGTTGTTTCAAATGATAAAAAGCAAGAAACACAACTACAC